AGCTCATCATTGATCTGACGCCATCAGAACACGTCTCTGATGATCTGTGCATGGACTCACCCACAATGCTCTTCTCAGGAGCAGGAGGAACGATGTAGCCGATGTGCATGTACTTGGAGGCTAATTTACTGTGCAAACCCAGAAAATCGCTGAAGCGCCTCTTGACGCAGACCTCGTCTCTGCTGAATATGGACAGACTGGTCTGCAAACAGAGAAAGAGAGTCACACACGTCCTCCAGGAGATCCACAACATCTCAGAACAGAACCTAAAGCTTTTCTTACTTTGGTCGTCACTTTATAGGCCATGTACGCATTCATGCCGTCACCTAGAAAAACAAAGAAATTAATCACAATCAGAATCGGCATGTGTGCACAAATACACAAGGAATTGTGGTTTCCAAAAGCTCTGGGCAAAAATAAATTTATTAATTAATTAATTAATTAAATTAAAAAGTAGTGCTAAACAGAAATATATATATAAATATATTTAAAAAAAATTCAGGAGCTCTGGGTAAATAAATAAATAAGTAAATTAATTAATTAATTAATTTAAAAAGTAGGGCTAAACACACACACACATATATATATATATATATATTTATTTATTTTTCCCAGGAGCTCTGGAAAAGCGTGTTCATCATCAACATTCACTCTGACTGATATTTTGGGGCAAAACATGTCAACACAGAAAATGATTTCTCACCAAAAAGACCGGTTTGTGTTTAGAAAAAGGACAAATGCTAAAAGAGTTTCATTTATTTTCCGGTGCTGTAGTCGCGAATCCTGCACCTGATAACATTTGAAAAGGTCTATCGATTCACAGTTCATCCTCAAACACCTTACCAACTTTCTCAGGGTCAGAAACGGAGATCTGGATGTCAAACGTGTCCCTGTTTTCCTCTTCATCTTCATCCTAGAGAGGAAGAGTCCAGTGAACGTGAGAAACGAATGAGACTCAGTGAGTGTGTGTATCATCATCTCTCAGATACGAGATCACAGTAAAGCACATGACTGCACACGGCGCTTCACCTGGTCCGGCGAGCGGTCGAACACGTCTGCTCTGGGGTTAATCGTGACGGGTGTGATGGCGGGAGACGGTCCGTCTGACAGGATCATCTGCCGCTCTGGACTGTCCAGAGACACTTCCTCTGTCGCTTCTGAAAGAGAGAGATAATGTGAAAACAAATCATGCACAGATGCTCAGTTCAGTTGATTATTAACAAAGTGTGAGTTGTTATGCAATAAACACTTCGCTTCGTACCTAACAACACCCCTTAGCTGTTATAAATTCACTGTAAACCACGGCTTCACGGGGATTATTGCTTTTATAAAACGGTTATTCCATATACGTAGTAAGGTTTCACAAAATAAAACAGAGCAAATAAAGTGTAATGATATTAATAAAAACAGTATTCTTCCACCAAACAATGTAGCTCCTCAGAAACAGTTGTGGTTGCTACAAAGTGGTTGCCGAGCAACACACAAACATAAACAAAGGTGTATGTTACTTTGTAGAGTAATTTACAACAGCTTCGAACGCGGCTCAGCCAATCAGAATCAAGCACCGGAACTATCCGCTTTATAATGCGCCGTTTACTACGCAGTTTAAAAGTTTGGGGTCGTGAGATTTTTTATTGTTTTTCAATAAAGTCTCTTCCACTCACCAAGGCTGCATTTATTTTATTAAAAATACAGTAAAATTGTGAAATATTATTCTAATGTAAAACAGCTGTTTTCTGATTTCTTTCATTAAAAAAATAAATAAATACGCTTGAGCAGTAGTGTTCTGCGAGCCAATAGAAACGGAACGTTCTCAAAACGGTCCAATCCTGAAGCTCCACATTCTGAACACGTAAATGGTTCATTTGAACCGTCATATTCACAAACTCCGAGACTGACGAATCACACACCAGCGAAGAGGTCGTCGGGGTCGTGGTCCAGCAGCATGGGCTCGGCTTTGGGTCCGTTAGAGCTGCTGCTGATGTCTTCTGGAGACAAACTCCGTTCAGCATCCTGCAGAAACAACAACAGGCCAGAGATGAACCAAGCGAAGGATGCTTTACAGCACAAACATTCAAACCAAACCCAGTCAGCAGATCACAAGAAGGACTAATAATAATAAATCTGTAAATCATCTAAATCTAACAATAATACCCTGAGAATTCCACCCTGAAAACTGAAGCTCATTTCCCACTTCATATTAAAAAATATATATTATTAGATTAAATATAATATGATAATATATATTGTAGAATAATTATAATATATATAATTATTATAAGCCTTTTAATGAAATGTTTTCTTTTTACTTTCTTCAGTAGATCTAGAGAAGCTAAAACAGCCAACAAATGATCATGAGCTGCGTTAAGCCAGTTAATATGACTCTCGCTCTCTTCACATCACACGCTTCAGCAGCTCATTAAAGTTAATGTTCACACACACTCACACACACACATACACACACACACACACTCACACACACACTCTCTCACACACACTCACACACACACTCACACACTCTCTCTCACACACACACACTCTCTCTCACACACATACACACACACACTCTCTCACACACACATACACTCTCTCTCACACACACACACTCTCTCTCACACACATACACACACACACTCTCTCACACACACATACACTCTCTCTCACACACACACACTCTCTCTCACACACATACACACACACACTCTCTCACACACACATACACTCTCTCTCACACACACACACTCTCTCTCACACACATACACACACACACTCTCTCACACACACATACACTCTCTCTCACACACACACACTCTCTCTCACACACATACACACACACACTCTCTCACACACACATACACTCTCTCTCACACACACACACTCTCTCTCACACACATACACACACACACTCTCTCACACACACATACACTCTCTCTCACACACACACACTCTCTCTCACACACATACACACACACACTCTCTCACACACACATACACTCTCTCTCACACACACACACTCTCTCTCACACACATACACACACACACTCTCTCACACACACATACACTCTCTCTCACACACACACACTCTCTCTCACACACATACACACACACACTCTCTCACACACACATACACTCTCTCTCACACACACACACTCTCTCTCACACACATACACACACACACTCTCTCACACACACATACACTCTCTCTCACACACACACACTCTCTCTCACACACATACACACACACACTCTCTCACACACACATACACTCTCTCTCACACACACACACTCTCTCTCACACACATACACACACACACTCTCTCACACACACATACACTCTCTCTCACACACACACACTCTCTCTCACACACATACACACACACACTCTCTCACACACACATACACTCTCTCTCACACACACACACTCTCTCTCACACACATACACACACACACTCTCTCACACACACATACACTCTCTCTCACACACACACACTCTCTCTCACACACATACACACACACACTCTCTCACACACACATACACTCTCTCTCACACACACACACTCTCTCTCACACACATACACACACACACTCTCTCACACACACATACACTCTCTCTCACACACACACACTCTCTCTCACACACATACACACACACACTCTCTCACACACACATACACTCTCTCTCACACACACACACTCTCTCTCACACACATACACACACACACTCTCTCACACACACATACACTCTCTCTCACACACACACACTCTCTCTCACACACATACACACACACACTCTCTCACACACACATACACTCTCTCTCACACACACACACTCTCTCTCACACACATACACACACACACTCTCTCACACACACATACACTCTCTCTCACACACACACACTCTCTCTCACACACATACACACACACACTCTCTCACACACACATACACTCTCTCTCACACACACACACTCTCTCTCACACACATACACACACACACTCTCTCACACACACATACACTCTCTCTCACACACACACACTCTCTCTCACACACATACACACACACACTCTCACTCACTCACACACACACACACACACACGTCATAAACGTGACAAACTCGTGACCAGAAGCTCAGGAAGTGTGAAGGGTCTCAGAATCTGCTGATCGGCTGTAAATGAGCAGATCTGCACTGACGCTTATGAAGGATATTTCCTTACATTCATTGCTAAGCGAGACGCTACAGACGAAACATTGTGTTTTCATGCACTGCTCAGATTTTGCTGAAGAAAACATGCAAAATACACTTTTAAGTGTTTGTTTTATTGCACATTATCTATTTGCGTCTGTAGATTTCAACCTTTAAAGAGTTTATTCTCTTACAGTTTTATTCCTCTCTATATTCTGAAGGTTTGTTCATATTTCATTCACACTGATTTATACAACATTTTACTCCTGAAAACATGGTGAAAATGTGTTTGCGTTCTGTCTGCTGACAGTATTTTCTGATTTATGGAGCGATAAAGAGAGAAACCCAAAAACCTTTAACTCTAATATGAACCTGGATTCATCTAATGTTCAGATTTATGTGCTGGAAATATATGCAAATTTAATTAGATAATGCATCATTTGCATATTTAAACATTTCTGATTAATTATCTGGGGAGGTATGCTGATATCTGTCTAATATTGAGTGATTAGCACACTGCTGTTCAGTGGTGTTTATGCAGTTCACAGAATATGGTTTTTAAAATAACACGTGACATACTTGGGCAAATGTCAAAATAACATTAATATTATTTGTTGGTGAGAAACTGTTAGATTTATAGTCATTCGCATGAGTTTAACTCTTATTATGGCTTCCTCGCGTTATTATCTTAGTTTGCAATTCCTGAAAATGAGTCTAATATTATTATAATATTATGATAATAACTGATGATTGTTTCGGAGTTTCTGCGCAGACGCGACGCAGCGTTGATGTGCAGAAGGAACCCGTGCTGCGCATGCGCGCTCGGCATCTCTACTCGCTCATGAAATTCAATGAAATCTGTCAGAATCAGATGGAAATACGCCGCTGATTATGAATATTGATTAGAGTCTGCGAGCAGAAGGGCGTGTCGATCCGTGAACGCGATGCTCGCGCGCAGCTTTAATCTCACCTCCATCAGTGGTGTTTATGCAGTTCACAGAATATCATGGTTTTTCAAATAACACGTGACATACTTGGGCAAATGTCAAAATAACATTAATATTATTTGTTGGTGAGAAACTGTTAGATTTATAGTCATTCGCATGAGTTTAACTCTTATTATGGCTTCCTCGCGTTATTATCTTAGTTTGCAATTCCTGAAAATGAGTCTAATATTATTATAATATTATGATAATAACTGATGATTGTTTCGGAGTTTCTGCGCAGACGCGACGCAGCGTTGATGTGCAGAAGGAACCCGTGCTGCGCATGCGCGCTCGGCATCTCTACTCGCTCATGAAATTCAATGAAATCTGTCAGAATCAGATGGAAATACGCCGCTGATTATGAATATTGATTAGAGTCTGCGAGCAGAAGGGCGTGTCGATCCGTGAACGCGATGCTCGCGCGCAGCTTTAATCTCACCTCCATCGCGCTCGCGGCGCTGACGAACAGATCCTCCGCGTCCTGCGGCTCCGGGACACCGGGCAGCGGTGGAGGCTCCCTCTCCTCCGCCATCTTTAAAAATAACAGCCGAATAAAGTCTCAGTCAGAGAATGAGTGTGTGATGAAGCCAGTCATGTGACTCATTCTCATGACAAAAGAGCTTCATGCAGCTCATGCTCCGCCCTCACAGCGCAGAACGCCCACAAAAACAACACACACACTCACTCATGCACACACACAAACACACACACACTCACTCACTCACACACTCACTCACACTCACTCACACACACACACACACACACACACACACACACACC